TTTTGCTGAAGTTGTGGTTGACATTCCCCCCTCCCTGGCTGAACAACTCTGCACAGTGCTGAAAAATGTTACCTGTGTTTCTATTGAACTTCCAGCAGCTAATTCTGAATTTGCATCTATACATCTTAGGTTTGCAAATGTAAATAGCTCTATCTTTTGGGGGGCAATATAGGAATGGCCACTCTAGGGCCTTTTCACTGTTTCTCACCAATGCTGTTTCACTTAGGAAGGACAATCAATCTACTTTTTCAAAAACTCTTTTCTCTCATCATAGCAAATCAGAGCTAGATGGCTTCCTTGGTTTATGATTCATGCTATTTCCCTTTGCATAAGGCTTTAACCTACTTTTTCCAAGCCTTTTTAAAGGGCATTAAAGGAAGAAAACTATTTGCTGCCTCTCTTGTAAGCTTTGTTGAGAGGATTAATCTGGCCTTTTATGTTTCTTGCATTATTACTGACATTACAAGACATAAAACCCCATAAATCTTCTACCTAATGCAGTGTAATCAAGATTTATTTTTTTTTAATATTAGTGCATGATAAATATTGTGTGTGCCTTGTAGTTTTTGAACCCTTGAAACTTGTTGCTCATTAACCTTAGTTACCACTGATTTTTATCATCTGCAGATTTTTCTGTTTATTAGCTATGCACCAGCCCACTTTAAGATGTGGTAAATATGGGACAGTTGGTCCTCAAGGACTATCTAGTCATTATTTTACGATCATAGCTTTGCTGAAGATGTAACTAACAACAAATTGCATCTGTTCCTTTTGGCATTAGAAAAATGTTTTTCTTCCTTCCCCCAGAAGAGACTAAGGAGTCATCCAGGCAGCTGCTTTAATGTGCTTTCCTTCAATCGGTGAAGTGGCACTAAAGTATGTTGGCAGAATTTGGACAGTCCTGATAGCTGATCTTTATTGATTTAAGGCCATATTTATGTAACTCAACCGACATGATTCTGGGCGACCTACACTAAACGCGAACGATAAGAAGAAAATATATATTATTAAAAAATAACCAGGATGTGTAAAATGACAAACTGAATGGAATAGATGAAAACAACCAATAGTTGTTGACTGCGAAAAAAATCAAGTCTTGACTTCTTTTCCAAAGGCCAACAGGGTTAGGCCTGTTGTATGTGGGAGAAGATGTTTGAAGACAGCATGGACACTGAGAAGGCCCACTTCCTAGGTCACATGACATAGCAATTACTTAAATGAAGGAACCTGGAGTGTGCCCTCCTTATGAGGATAAGTAGCCCTGGTGGCACAGTGGTTAGAATGCACTATTGCAGGCTAACTTTGCCCACTGCCAGGAGTTTGATCCTGAGGGATCTCAAGGTTGACTCAGCCTTCCATCTTTCTGAGGTCGGTAAAATGAGGACCCAGATTGTTGGGGGGGGGACAATATGCTGACTCTGTAAACCAGAGGGCTGTAAAGCAATATGAAATAGTATATAAGTCTAAGTGCTATTGCTACTGTATGTGAGGTAGCAAAGGTTATTGGAAGCAGGCAGTCCTGCAACTTGCTCGGACCTATATGCCATGCAGGGCTTTAAAGGTAACCAGCATCTTGAATTACATCTGGGTTTGTTGGAAGCCAGGCAACTTGAGGAATAGCAATGTACATAACAGATTGAATCTGTAACTAACCACATTGCTGAATTCTGGGCTAAAATAAAGAACTAATACAAACTAAAGTCAGGAAGAAAAAACAAAAACTCAGAGAAAGCGAAAAGTGCAAGAAAGGAAAAAAGTTAAAGAAAAAAAGATACAAAGAAGTATTTTCTGATATTCTTCACAGTACAATTATGCTTTAGCCTCTGTCTACATCATGATACCCTTTTAGGCCAGAGGGGAAACTTGTTAACGTTAAAATAAGCCACAGGTTGCTCCTCTTGTTTGTTCTGGCTTAAAAAGGCCATTACGCTCTGTTCAGCCCCAAGGGGCATTGCAAATAACTCTAAGCTGGCATTAGTAATGCCACCGAGCTAAGATCAGAGTTGTCTGAAAAAAAGTATGGTCATTTTTTGTTTGTAGATAATCTAAAACTATAAAATAGTTTTAAAAATAGTTGGAAATAGAGGTAGTTAAGCAAAAAGTACTCTTATACTGTATGTTATGAAACTCCTCTGTTTAGGATATGAGTTTACATTGAGCTTTATAGTTCACTATGCAAAGTTCAAAAGAACATTATTTTAAGAGAGGGTAGGTATTATATCTTAGCAAGATTGCATAAAGAGAAAGCTACGGTGCTTTTCTAGTGTAAATGTCAGAAGCAAGAAAGAACAATAGTTATTTCTGTGTAGAGGGAACAGGAAAGACATTTGCTTGGTAAAACATAATCTTGGCTTTCAAAAGTCAGTCTATGGCTGCTGCCATGATCATCTACCTTATTTTGTGTCTTTATTTTCCAGGATTTCCTAACCTTGGTAAATCTTCGGTATGTGGACTACAACACCCGGAATTCTCAGCAAGGGCTATACTGGCTAAAAAAAAAAAGGCTTTGAAATCTATACACCTGGAATTTGCCCAGGATGGGAAACATTGAGTTAGAGTAGATAAAAATGTTTGAGGGTATAAGTAAGGTGTTAGATCAGGGGTGTCAAACTGCCGGCCCACAGGCCGGACGTGTCACGATGAAACTGCGCCCACCCCATTGCTGGCAATGGGGAAAAAGCTCTGATATGTCACAAGTTTGACATGTCTGTGTTAGATGTTAATTTGGTATATAGTTTTATCTGATAGAATTGATTCTATAAGAAGCAAAGTTTGGAAGGAAAGGAAAAATACAACTGAAATTACTTTTTAGTTCCTGTTATTTTCAGTTTTTTAAAAATATTGTTGCCTCCCTTTTCTTAGTGTAGTCCTAAAATATTAATCAGGATTTATTATTTGGAAAATTGTAGATATTTTAAAATATTGCAGTATTTTCCAGTAAAATATAACACTACAGTCCAAGATTAATTTCTGTGTGCTAAGTGACTACATTAGACCAACATTTTATTTTAATGTGTAAAAAATAAATCTGTTTCTACCAAGTGACCGGAACTATTAAGATTAATAGAATTAACTGATATCACTAGAGTTTTATAAAAGTCTGGGGCTGTAGAAATAGCCTGTTCAATCAAGCTTAGGATTTCATAGTAGGAATCAGAAGGAAAGAGACTGAAAATAAAATAACATTCTAATGTCTTTACACCAATTTTTAAAATACAGTATTTGCATATATGCAATTTTAGTTGCCAGATCTGAAAAAAGATATCATAAAAGTGGAAAAAGAACAGTTGAGCATGTTCCTTACAGGAAAAGTCTGCACCATCTGGAATTTTTTAGAAAAAAAAAGATGACTCAAGGAAAATACGGTCAAGGAAGATGTATGATATTATGCATGGAGCAGAGAACAATTCCATTAGGACTAAAAACTCCCTAAAATGGGACTTGGTATGATCAAACAAGGATGCAAAACATGATTTGGAAAACAGAACGATGTTCTCTGGGGGAATAATTCTCCCAATGGTTTAGAGAAATAAACCATATTTCTCAGGTGATTTTGATTCTCTGTTGAGTCTAATTGAGAAAAGACTCTGAGACCAGCTTCTGTGTCTGCCTTTTCCCAGAGATGCTTAGTGTAAAGAATTATGGGAAGCCATCCCCCTTTTTAACCCTTCCCTGTTGGACAACCAATGCCATACGGCATGGGTGTCAAACTCGCCACGTCAAGTGATGTGTCGCGACGTATCGCTACTCTTTTTGCATTGCCGACAATGGGGTGGGCCCCGTTTCGGTATGATGAAACCGGCCTATGGGCCGGCAGGTTGATACCCCTGCCATACAGTCTCTCAAGAAACATTAAACAAAGGGCTGCATGACAAGCTGTCACCCTCAGAATACATACAAGTCTTGCCACTAAACTTGCTAGAGAGTAGGAGGAAAGGAAAAATTGATAGTGTTTTCCCAAAGCGTAATGACTACATTGACCTAGCTTGACTCCAGCCATCTTGTGAATCAGATGTGATTCTGTAGAGACATCCTGCACTGTTTTGGGGAACAAAGCTGCCTTCAGACCTCAGTAGCTACATGTTTTGGCCTCTTTTGCAGTGTCCTCCAAACTCCTAATAAATTCTTTGTGCTTGCAGTTGAATGATTGGCATTACTCATTGATAACAGAGCCTTTCCTGATGACATTGCCATCTATTAAAGGCACCACTCATGGACCAGACAGGTGGGTTGATCATTTGGTCCAGTTCTCCTCCCTCCTGTGCCCATCACCACTAGTTTCAGGACAATGGCACTAGAGCTTTGCAGAGAATTTTGACTGATATCATAGTGAATTGGAACTATTTATTCCTCTCAAGTAATCCAACATCCATTCTGAATTACCCTGATCTATCTTAATATGGCTTTGTTCAGATCTGAAGCATAGCTTACTAATCAGAAAGAAAATGGTATAGTAGTCAGTGTTTTGCTAATTAATATTTGGGACTCTCAGTATGTTTTGTGCAGAATTGTAGCGCTTTCAAACAAATTGATAGTCTTTATTTATTTATTTACCTACATGTTCCCTTTAAATATATATAACACATTGTCTGTACATCAAAGCCGTTAAATCAGGGGTCTCCAACCCCCGGTTCGTGGACCAGCATTGGTCCTCGGCATGCCAGAAACTGGTCTGTGTAAACTAGAGAAGCCCCATCTGTGGGTTTACAGGCAGCACATGAAACCACGCCCCCTCTGATCTGTGGAAAAACCTCTCTCCACAAAACCGGTCCCTGGTGCCCAAAAGGTTGGGAACCACTGCTTTAAATGCTGTCTTTATATTGAGGAAGTTTGTTCAAATATACAGGTCACGCAATTTCTTTCTCTGGCTTAACCATTTGTAAGTTGCTAGTCACGTTCTCTAATACTGCAGTATCTGAATTTCTTGTTAAATTTAAATATTTCTGAGGTCAAGTAAAACAGTGACACGTTTCTTGAATTTTAATGTAATTTTCTTTCAGGATTGAACTTTCCAGCGTGGTGATTCAAAACAGAAAATAAAGCCTGAAAAATAGTTTCTAAAATATCAATGCAAAGAGAAACATCTCTTAAAAGTTAAGTTCAAAACACCTTTGCTAGCCAAAATTGATGTAATCAATTCAAGTAAGTTTTTGGTAGGGTGAGAAAAATGTTGTGTCCATTTGGAGTGATAGCAGGATTTTTAAGAATCCTTCTCTAAGCCATGTTTCCCTGTTAGTGCAAATTATAACTGGGGAGGAGATTTAATACTTTTTCTTTATTGCTTTCGCCTATTATTGATCTTGCCTATTATTCATCCTTGCTTCTTTGTAGCTATTTCTTAACTACATCATTTATACAATAATTTATTTCAGATATTTTCTAGTTTGGCCTGACTTTGATGCTCTGGATTGGTGATTTAAGTTGCAGTGATTATTATGAATCTTTAGGTTAGAATATTGCCATTGGAATGAATATAGTAAGCGATTTGATCATCTTTTAGCTGCTTTTAGTACTGCAGAAATGATTTGAAGAAATATCTTTATATGGTCCTTATTTCAGCTACCAACTAAGGTAGAATACTCTACTAAAATTTAATTCTACCTTTTCTTTTGTACAAGGAAATAAAAATACTTATGCTCATAATCAATTCATTTGCAATTAACTTTTAACTATGACTATAACTCAAACCTTTTTGAACTTTGAGAGATGTTTTGGTTTTGATGCTGTTCAAGTTTATTGTTTTATAAGAATTTGATGGGGGGAGGGCTGTGTTTTACCCTGATTTTGTTCACAACAGTGAGCAAGCAATTCTGTCTATATCAGACATGTCAAACACAAGGCCTGGGGGCTGGATGCGGCCTGCAAAATGGTTTCATGTGGCCTGCGAAGCCATCCTGGAAAAAGTGAGGGAATGGCCCCTGCTGCCTTGGCCCTGGCCCAGGCCCAGGCCAGCCGGAGGGAGCCAATGTACAATTTTGTGGTGGCCATCTATGCTGAAACGCATTCAGTCTTAGCTCCACAAGGGCGCCTAGAAACAGCGAGGGACCAGCCCCTGCTGTGTCGGCCCCACCCCTGGGTGCATGCTGGGGAGGTGTCACCCTTTGTGAGGAATGAAGAAGTGGACCATGCCTTGGCACTTGCCCTGGTCCCACCCCCTTCTGCCAGAGACCCTCACATCTGTCCCACTTCTGCCCAGGCCCCCACAGGTACTCTTGACGTGAACGATGTAGAGCTGGCCATGCCCACCCAGTAGGCCACACCCACTCCATCCACGCCCACCCAATAGGCCGCACCCACCCGGCCCCCCGAGGGCAACCGCAGTGCTGATGCGGCCTTCAATGAAATTGAATTTGATACCCCTGGTTTATATAATCAAGATCACTCCTTTCACAGAATTGACTTGGAGAAACAAAAATACAAGTATTCAGTCATACGTGCATAGGACATGATTCTGGTTCTTATATTGACTTGAATGTGCTGAGATAAGGACCTGAGCATTTTTGATTGACATATTTAAAGTGTGACCTAAGCAGTTGTGGCTTGGAACACTCCTGGGCTCTTTCATTGGGAAGAATCCTAATACACTCTGTGTGAACGGCTTATTTCTAAATAGATTGAGCCGTGGAACCTTTCCCATTATGCATATTCTATAAAAGCCTCAAGTTTTACAAGCAAATTTGTTGTTTTCTACATTATCCAGCAACTGCAAATATAATGTCAGCTAGATGATCCTTTTTGAATCTTCCATTGCTTCTATTAAAAGTTGATCTACTACTATTGATTTAGGCTTTGTAGCTTTATCATATAATACCCAAATGCATATTTTTTCTTTTTTGGGGGGTCAAACTAGTTATACTGTACTGTAATTCTTGGTGTTAAGTTATATAGTCTGCTTTTTGTTTTAATTGCTTAGTACAGTGTTTCCCAAACTTGACAATTTTAAGGCATGTGGACTTCAACTCCCAGAATTCCACAGCCAGCGTTGCTGGCTGTGGAATTCTGGGAGTTGAAGTCCACATGCCTTACAATTGTCAAGTTTGGGAAACACTGGCTTAGTAAATAGTTGGTATGGATTGTAGAGCAGGCCAGATAGCTTTCAACACAAATGGAATTAGTTTATCCCTCCTTTTAAAAAAATATGTAAATTTAAAAATGTGGCCACATATGATCAAACCATCATTGGTTGGGTTCACACATCAGCCTAAGTAGTTATGTAATAAATCACAGAGGCCTGGTTCATATGTAATACAAACCAACCAAGTTAGCATCATGCTGACTCAGCTATCGTATTTACTTTGAATTGCAATGAGCATCTTATTCATCTCCTGCCTTGAGGAGCAGATAGAAGCTCTAATGGGCTGGTTTTAATCAGGAAATTCCTTCACACCCTTTCCCCATAATCACTTTTTAAAATAATAATTCCAGTTCCCTGCTGCTGTATTTAGTTAAAAATAATAATTATTCTTTTTTGTATGCATACTTTGACTATTTAGACTATGCAATAATAAGACTAGTTGGAATAGTATGTCTGCTGTAACGGAACAAAGCCAGCTTTATTCAGATTTAACTTGAATAATCTTTTTGTGTTTTGGCAAAATGTGTTTCCCAAGTCAAGTTGGCCGTTCAGCACAGTAAGTAATGCTTACTTCCCCATTCCTAATTTTAACTGACATAGCCCCTCTGTCTCTAGTGGTAAAAGTTATTTTAATGTGGAGGAATCAACACTGTTTTTGAAGTACAGGCCTTCACTGTTCTTCAGTAAAGCATTTTCCATACTCTTATAAACAGCCATGGAAATCTGCCAGAGAGGATTTAGGGGCTACAACTGTTGAGAGAAAGTTTCAAAGCTTGGAATGTTCTTTGAGAAAGTGAATTATGTATTTCCTGAAATGCTTCTATTAATAATGTTTTACTGTCGTATTTTAAAAAATAGAAGATTTGGTTCAAAATTATTGCCTATTATATCAACTCCCTGCATCATTCCTCCTCCCCTATCTTATGGGAGGGTGTGTGTGTGGGTATAGGAAAGAGCTTTATTTGTCAATATTGCCACTGACTTCCTTTATTTTTCTTCTCCGTTCTTACTTCTTACCTGGTCAGTCTGTGGTCTAGTACTCATACCTCCAAGTAAGCCATAATGCACTTTGTTTGGTTTTGGTTAAGTGTGGTATGTGAATCCAGTCAGTTGTGTTTTAGTAAGTCATGTTTAATGGCTTAGAGCAACATGTAAGCTCAACTCTTGGGGTTTACTTAACAAACTGTGGCTTGGCTTGATACATGGATCCAGACAATATCTTTTCAAGGAGATGAAAGGAATCTGTGTTACGTCAAGTGTCAGGGAACGTTTTACTCAAAGCTGAAAGCCTAATTTCAGTTGTGGGTGATCCACAATGTAACAGTAATGAAATTATACCATATATAACTTTATTAACAACCATAATGCAGTTAATAAGGTAAGTCAAGTCAGATTTGATTCATGATGACTCCATGGACGTTGATGTATAATTTTGGGCAACAATATTGAAGTAGCTTTGCTTTGCTTCTGAGATTTTTTTTTTTTTTCATTTCCCCAATCTACTTTAGAGCCCTAGATATTCCCTGGCAGCTTCCCAGATTTTATCATACTTAGATTCTGAGTCCAAACAAAGCTGCCCAGGTGCTGAAAGGTAGATTTCTGGACCACCTTTAATTATAGAACATTGTATTAAATTACCACAAGTAAACTACAGGGATTCCAATAATTTGCATCATATTTCATACGAACGTGCATATATTTGATAGATATTAATCTAGATTGGATTTCTTTTCTTAAAAGTGCATAAAACTCACTATATTTACACTCTTTAATAATGTCATCATTTATCAATACAGGTTTTGAATTTAATAAGGGCGATGAACTGAAGTTACATTGGTTTATGCTCCTATAAGACTAATATGTTGAATTTATCAGCATTTTTTTTTCTTTTCAAACTGTCAGGTTTCAAATATTTCTCCTATTAATAATTATACATTTGCTGTCCTCTCCCAAGGTCCTCAGTTTTGTCTTTCCTTCAGCCTATACATTATCAAAAAAACCTAGAGGCCTGGTTGAACGTAATAGTGCACTATATTTTAACTTTAGCAAGACCCACACCATTTTACAAAGTAGGATCTATGAGAATAGATTAACAGTTGTTTCATTTAGACTGTGCCCAAATCATCTGTGTCTTGAAAAGTTGAGCTCTTCTGTCTTGTTGGCTTGCCAGACTCCAGATAAATGGATCCCAGAACATATTTTTGATTTGGTGAAGAGAACCGTCCCATCAACTAATGAACCGTCCCATCAAATATTGAAATTGACTACCTCCCAGTTTTCCAGGCATTACAAATGGATATTTTCTCTTTAGCAAAAGATACTTTGTGGCGAACAGTTTCTTTAAATTCAGAGTCCCTTTTTGGATTGAAACTACCCTTCGATTTTCTGAAGAGCTTCTACGGACAAGGGAGAAATATGGGTAGTCCTTGACTTAACAACAGTTTGTTTAGTGACCAAAGTTACAACAGCACTGAAAAAGCGACTTATGGCCATTTTTCACACTTACGACTGTTGCAGCATCCCCAAGGTCACATGATCAAAATCCAGACGCTTGGCCACAAATTCATATTTATGATGGTTGCAGTGCCCCAAGGACATGTGATTCCCTTTTGCCACCTTCTGATGAGCAAAGTTAATGGGGAAACCAGATTCACTTAACAACTGTTACTAACATAACAATTGCAGTGATTCACTTAACAACGGTGACAATAAAAGTCATAAAATGGGGAAAAATTCACTTAATACGTCTCTTAGCAACATAAATTTTGGGCTCAATTATGGTTGTAAGTTGACGACAATATGTAGATGATATTTATGCTGTATTCCTATTGTCCTTGTCTAACCAAGCACACTTCATACACCTTTTTGGGGGATCTGCGCATTCAAAATAAAAAAAAAAACTAGTTTCATTCCTCTCCATAAATAGTGTCTGGTATTTTTATTTGGTATGCCCTTATATCAAAGT